AAATAAATTTCTGGAGAGAAAAATAGGAGTTGTCGTAGGTAGGATATTGGCCGCGGGGACGCGGCCAGAACAGTACTTAACTAACACTCTTGTCCTTGTCAGTCCTTTTGGCTTGAGTACCGAGGGACCCCCCTGATGATGATCGGCTGGCAACCGATCGAAACGCGGCGTAGGGGGAAGCCGTAGGGATGAAGGTGGAGGCTGACACTGACGTGTCATGACCTGTGTTCTTCTCACACACGGTGTGATGGTGGCGATGGTAATTGGGGACGAGCTTCATGTCTGATCTTTTTTGACTCAATTGTTATCTATATCATTTCACCGATGTATGAGATCTATGCATGCATGTGACCACTCGTGTGGAGACTACGATCCTGTAAGAGAGAGAGAGAGAGAGAGGGGGGGGCGGCGAGTTCGCTGCGACCTTCCGTGAAGGTCGCCGCCTCTCTCTCTCTCTCTCTCTCTCTCTCTCTCTCTCCCCACCCAACGGCGCGCCAAGAAGCAACGACGGTATCTTCTTTTATTTCGTTTTTTTTATTGTGTTTATAATTTATTTTTTTTTCTTATGGTGTGAGTAACACCCCGTACTTGCCGGGCTCCGACCAAGAAGGAGCGACCGGGCCTTCCCTTGGCCGACCTCCCTAAGGCTGCGGCGCATATACGGGAAGGCCCGCGGCCGATAGCTGAGCAAGGTACTGGTGGTTTAAGCTTTAAAGGGGGGTGCCTCGGTGTGATTTGGTTATTTTCTTTTTTATCTTCAGTTCCGTGAGGAATTCTGATGTGACCCTCAGCTAAAAGTTGTTTGTATTGCAATTGTACAAAACATATTTTTTTCCCAGATTTTGTATTATTATTATTTTTTTTTTGGCGCTGGGCCAACCCGGGACACTGCCCAGGGGTCATGCCCGACCGGTCACCCGGGCGTGTTTCCAGGCACAACTTGGGTGCCTGGGCGCCCGGGAAAACGGCCTAGTCTATCTCGTAATTCATATGTCACGGATGATGATAGTGTCCCCATTTATACACACATCTTCTGCCTACCTCTGCTCACGTGACTACATCTTTCAAAGAGTCCCTTGGGATATCGCGATGTCAGTCAAAAGATGAGGGCACTGGCTGGAGAAGAGAGTCTGGCCAATTTAACTGTTGACTTGGCGATTATGGCTTCCAACACGAGTTACGTTCGCACGTGCTACAACTGCGGTCAGCCCGGTCATCTTCAACGTCACTGTCCTCACCCTCCACGGAATCCTCCTCCATCTATTCCTTCTACTGCTATTGTCCCTGTTCAGTCCGGTGTCTCCGCTGCTCCTCCTTTTGGTCAAGACTACTACAGTAACAACCAGTGCCAGTACCATCACAGATCTGGATGGCCTAGTAACACCCGAAGGATTGAGACTTTGGAGGAGAGTTGCTTCTATTAAGGCACGACATGACGCCGAGATTGCTCGAGAAAAGTTGAAGAAAGAAGGGGAGGAAAAGCTGAAGAAGGAGAAGGATGAAGAAGAGAAACGTTTGCGCAAACAGAAGGATAGAGAAGAGCTGCAGAAAATGATTGGAGAAACTCTTGAAGTTAGACTGAAGGGTACTGGAGTTAGTGAGATTCCTAAGAATCCCAACGGTGAGGTAGAGAAGCTTCGTGCTGAGATTGAAGAAATGAAGCGGGCACAAGTAGCGGCTAGATCTGGCGGGAGTCTTGAGTCTGATGAAGTTCATAGGCTTCGGATGGAGATCGCCTTATTGAAACGTAGGCTCTCAACTGGCAGAAAGGATGACGGTGATAGGCGATCAGCAGCTGTGCGAGAAGATGCATGGAGAAATGTGCAGGAATCTTATGAGCAAAGGATGGCTACTTTGGAGGAACAGGTTACTATTCTGAGACGGATGAAAGATGATGCGGTAAACGAAGCGGAAGCATGGAAGCTGGAGGCTCAACGTCCGGGTAACAAGCGAGGTGGCGTCACTATTGGTGTCACTCCGGGGACTCGAGCAAGAGTACGGTCGAGATGTACCCCGACTCAGACGATTGCGCCACCGAAGAAGATGATGCTGGAGGAGTACCGCGACTTTGTCCAACTCCACGAGGATGAGGTGAACCTTCTCAAAGACATGAGATCTAAAGAAGTCCAGAGACGTAAGGAGGCTGAAGAAGAGGCGGAACGTGTGAAAGAACAGCTCGCGAGGTTGGAGATAGAAAGAGCCGACAAACATAAGACGACGGCTACCTGTCTACGTGCACGATTGGAGGCTGCGATCGATGATGATGTTGGACCTTCATCACGTGGAAAGCGACATGCATCGGTCAGCAAAAAAGACACAATGAGGAGTGACAGAACCACGAACGAAGGAAGCTTTGCTCAAGGAAAATCGAGCCCACTTGAAACCTTTGAAGAAGGATGCCATTTTGGTGATATGTGAGAAGGAAGGAGTTGTTTACACCACTCTGGAGAAGGCCAAGGAGGAGATTGTTCAACAGAGGTTGACCAAAGCCTTTCCGGGAGGTACGTCTGTTGCAACGAAACACAACGGTGTCGTTATCGAGGAAATTTCTGATGACAACACAGCGGTAAGTTCTGACTTAGGTAAGGTTGGTGATGGAATCGACAACGCTTCTTAGGATCGGTTCCGAACGTGGCTGATCTTTGGCATTTAGCTAATCGTTGTAGTGCCGCTAGGAGAAAGTCATGCGAATTGTTGAGGAACCAGAAGTTGAATGCTATTTTTTGCTTGGTGACCGTCAGATTAATTTTGGAAGGACAAATTTTGTGGGCAAATAAGTTTCGTTCGCCGATCTCTTCACTTCTGACAGACGATTTTGATTTTTCTGTTGGGGAGGGTCCTTTGGTCTATGCGTTGGTTTCACCCTGGTGCCGACACGTGTATATTGGTAGCACATCACGTGATCTGCCTACGAGATGGAATGAGCATGTGTATAGGGCTTGCAGTGTCGGGTTGGTGGGCAAGGGTAGGAGAAATGAGAATTTATATAGATGGTTGAGGAGATTTAGGGTCGATAAACACGTAGCCATTCCCTTGTTATGTTCGTCTATTGAGGACCTATGCGTGAACGAAAAGTTTTTTATTCGGACTGTGTGCGCTGGGCTTAATAATCCGGATCGGCCACGACGTACGAAGCGAAGGAGGAAGGTTTAAGGGACCGTCTCAGAGAAAAGAAGAAGGCGGACAAGAATGTTACTCAATCAGTTATTTCCCTTCTCAACTTTCACTAAAGTATCGGGATTGTCAGTACTAGTTTGCATCGAATTCTTGATGAGTGCAGTAAGAATGGCATCCCGACCTGTGTCGTGGTTTGTCGAGGAGGTTCATCATTTTCTGATCGATGGAGTGCGTTGAAGAGACTATATGGGGGATCGACTATTTCATCTTCCTTGGCGTGTTGCAACTAAGGAAATCTCATGAATGGTTTTCAGATGGTGTTACCATTATTTTTACTACTATATGTCCTTTTCTTAACACAGTGCTACCTCTAAAGCAACCCCTGTCTCTCCTTTTGTCTAATCCCTCTTCCATTCGCGATTTGTATCTCTGGTCCGTTGAGAGATTGGTTCTTGCTTTTTCCGCCATTCGTACCTTTACTGAAAAACGATCGCGAGGTAGGCTACGTTGCGTTCTTTCCAGGGTGATCAACCGTCGGTTTGGTATTGAACTTCGTAAGCGGGTGGTCGTTTGAATCTTATATAGCAAGGACTTCTGTAAATCGAGGATTCGTCAAGTCTGTGCCGATTTGATTTGTAAATTGGAGATTGCAGAGGGATGGAAGCGAATGTTGATTCGTCGTATGAGGGTAGTATGGTGTAAAAACAAGACGATAGGAGATCTGATTCATAATTTTAGAAAGGAGGCTAGGAGCGATCATTTTGTCTGTTGTTGCGACGAAGTCGAGGAGGGTTTTCCACGGGCCAATGGTCACGTCTCTTTTAGGATTAATGAGTGCTCCTTGTTTCCCCGTTGGATGAGCAATTCAAAAAACATTGTCGAACCTTCTGTCAGGTATTCTCTATCCAATCTTAGGAGTCAAATCTTTACTGCCTTTCGTTCTTTATCCTTTCCTCCCGCTATTAATGACAATAGTCTATCGATCGAGGACCTTCAATCTTGCTGCTTTGTCTCATCTGTTATGTGTACCTCCGACTCATCTTGTGACTACGATGTTATCTACGATCAGAAAAAAAGACTTTGTGGGTTGGTGTGTTGCGCTATTGATCACAATGCAGGTGACACTCATGTTTGTTGCCCAACTCTCTACCTTTCTGGACTCAACAAGCTGTTTCTTCAGAATCAAGCCTACCAAAAATGTTTGATTCCGAAAGATGAGACAGTTAGCAACTGCAAGAGAGCGTACATCAAGTCGGGGTTGACCCAGGTGGCAAAATGGAATACCCGTGGTCCCGTGGTAAGTTGGGAAACGCTTATGGTATGCTGAAGCATAAGGATGTCAGTAGGTGGAGACCGATATGTCCTCCTTTCTCTGAATGTTCCGCCAACGGAGGGCGAAGAATTTCGAAAGTTGTTAATGCTCTGCTTTGGAATCTGCCGAAGAGTTTTCACTTCAACCTGCGAGCCACCCAGGATCTTGTAGCAGGAATTAGCAAGTTGAACTCATCTCTCAAACATAACGAATATTTGGTAGGGGCGTCATTCGACATCAAGGAAATGTTTTCGAACCTTCCTCACTCTTCTATTGTTCGAGCGTTGGAATGGGTGATCGACTATTGGACAGGGCAGGGATACCAAGGGGTTGGCATCCAGCGACAAGGGAAAGGCGTGCGTTTGGTGAAAGGAAGAAGAGAGGATGGATGGTTGTTTCTTTCTTTTGAGATTATTTTGTCTTTTATTCTTTTTGAGCTTAACCACACTTTTTTCAGTGTTTCTCAGACGATTTTTCAACAAATTGTTGGTATACCTATAGGCAAGTTTTCTAGCCCGGCGTTAGCTTGTCTCCTGTGCGCATTGAACGAATATAATCACTTGTCGGCACTTGGTAACGATCGAAAATTGTTTCATGGCTTCAGACTTGTAGATGACGTTTCAATTTTCGTGGTATGCAGGAAGGATTGTGATGAGACGATTGAGAAAGGGCACCAACTGATTAAGTTTTTCCTTGGGTGTTATGATGAGAAGTTAACTTTAGAGAGAACTAGTGAGGGCCACTATTGGGAATTTTTGGGTTGCTTTATTCGTATTTTGGAAGGAAGAAACGGTGTTGCCTGCTTTGCCAGCCATAAGAATCTGCAGGGTTGGAAAAACGATAGGCTGATGTTTCAAAGCATTCAAGATTTCGACTCCTACTCAAGTAAGCAACAGAAGATGGCGGTTATTGGATCGTTCTTACATCGAGCCAGAGTTTTTTCACCCATCCCGGGGACGGAGGTCTTCTTTCTTTTTACATTGAAATTGGAATTGTGGCGCAGAGGGTACCCGGATAATTATTTTGATAATGCACTCACGAGCTTCTCTAATAAATTCGCAGGATTATGGAGCGAATGGTTACCTGTTCTGACTGCATGGGGGAGACTGTATTTGTAGTTGGCACGAGACTCGTTTTTAGGGTCTTCTTTGGCACTTTATCTTTCTGAACAGTATCGAATAGTACATTTTTGCATTGGGAACCTTGGTACCCTATAAGTATAATTGATTGGGGGTAAATTGGGTGTTGTTCAACGAGAATTTTTGAACGATGTGGAGGATGGGTTTCTAACTGGTGATTTGTTGCTGGGTAATATGCTGTCTTAAGTTTTTATTGAACACGGTTTCGTACTGGTGTTGTGCAACGGGAACTTGATTTTACAATAAGGATCGTTGAGGATGGGTTTTGAACTAGCGACTCGTAGCTAGGTAATAGGTTTTTTTAGTTTTTTGTACTGAGCATGGTTTCAAACCGGTGATGTGTTGGATAAATTGCGTAGCAGTTTTTCGTCATTTTCAGGGACAAATTTTTGAAAAAAGGTACCGACCCGCTTTTTGAGGTTGTTACGGACGGACTAGATGGCGACGTTGTTTTCTGATGACCCTACATTTTTTCAGGTTCACTGTTGCTACCTACCGGGCGATAGCTTTTGCGATGTTTCTGGTCGGATCTTAGGGTACTTACATCTTTTTGTCGTTTTGTCGTATATGTTTGGGATGCATGCACCTAGATGGTTCTATTACTTTTCATAGGTATACAACCAATAGATGTTCCGACCACTTTAAGGCTCCTGATGAGGCCGGTCACGACGGCCAGCTGAAACCGGTAGGGCCGCTCGCCGTACGTTCGTCGCGCAGTACGCATTTTTCTAAATGATGACGAACGAGTCGCGTTCGGATTGTTCATCTGTCTGGTGCCGCCTATCTCTTTCTCTTTTCTCTACCTCTCTCCCGTGTGCTGTCTCCCGTGTGTTGTTGTGCATGCGACTTATTCCTGTGGTGCCTTCTTGCTAAGCATTTTGTGAGTTTCACTCGTACAACAACTACAAAGCTTAGCACAGAAAGACTTGGAAAACAAGTGAAGACCGGAGGAAAAATCCTGAAGGATGTCATAACTTGGAAGAGAGCCTGAGACTGATAACTGATAGCATCTCGTTAGAGTGGTTAAGGGCACTGAAGAACCCTTTTCAATGGCTCAGAAAACGAAGAAGAGGAGATAGAGGACTTTTTCACCGTCATACAATTACTGGACGAAAATAAGAGATGGGGGGTCTTTGGCATATATCTACTCCAGGAAGGAATAGGGGCCACTCGTTGTGCAGTGCACAAACCCAAGGTGATGGTAGGACTAACATTGACCATCCTTAGGAAAAAAAATTCAAAAACCAGTTTAATAGCTCATCAGATTTCTCACAGACAAAAAACAGTGACACGGTGTTATGAACTTATGACCCAAGACGCGGTCCCTAAACGAGGATATCAATTTTCTCACCAACAAACGGGGACAGTGTTCCGATCTCTAAAAGAGCAAATCAATTTTCTCACAGACGAACGGCAACAAGCTAGCTCTCAGTCTTCATATCATTGCCCGTCAACCACGGTCAGCCGAACTCTCCATCCACCGGGAACGTGGACCCTGAAGACAAAATCCTCGACTCTTTTCTCTTATGGAAAGTGAGGGGGCTCATCAAACAGCGCTAAAAGCTTTGACTATCACGCTAAATTGTCTATGTATAGACGGTTTGGGATTTTTCCCAAACTGTTTGGTAGATTCCCACGCGTTACGCTCCTGTTTGCCACTTTGTCTTCAACTGAGAAAACAACATTAGGGGGGATGAAGGCAGAAGCCAATCTTCCCAATGAAAACTGCACTGCAAGACCTAGAATTCGATCCAGCATAATGGGTCTGGACCATAAACCTCATCCCCACAACCGATTGCTCAGTCCATGGGAACTGCACTGCAAGGCCTACAATTCGATCCTCTTCTGTCGTTTTCTGAGCAATCCTTAGGATCCAGTTAGGATACAAAATGTTGCTGACAACAAAGGACCCGTTAACAGTGATCCTAAGGAGATGGCGTCAGGAACTTGGCATAAGAAATTCAAGAACCCATCTGGACTTCACAGCTCAAGGGGATCAATCCCTTCTGGGATCTGTATTTAAACAAGACCCAAAAAAAGGCATTCTGGGGAAAAGATCAGTATCAGACATCAGCAGAAGGAACCTGGTACAGCTCTGACCTTCTAAAATTATTGGTTTCAGGCAGAGTTGCACAGGCCAACAGTCAGCGCCCCTCGATTGGTCAGCTGCCGCCCAGCCGAACGGCCGGCTGGTCGGCACCTACCGGTCGGCGGTCAGCGGCACCCCGCAAACCCCCCAATAACCCCACCAATACCCTCATACACCCCCCCAACACCCTCATACCCCCCTCAAATACCCCGTATACCCCCCCCTCCCTCCACTATACTCTCCCCCCCCCCAAACCCCCCCTGTACCCCCTCCATCCCCAAAAGTTCCTCAGCAGATTTGGGCTGTACTCAGCAAGCACAGTACAGCCCCATAGTCAGATTAACAAAACAAATTAAGTGGATGGCTGTTTACTGACTGGTCAGCAGACCGCCGACCGGTCGGCCCTACCAGTCAGCTGCAGAACGGTCGGCAGTCGGTGGGTATGCAACCCTGGTTTCAGGGCCAATTTGACAGTTCGGCCAAAGCCAAGACCGAGAGGAGTTCGAAATAGTAACGGCAAGCTCACATTTCTCCATCGAAGGGAGCAATCAGTGCTGTTCAGGGTCCTTCAGCCTTAAGGGAAATAAGCATGGGTGTGTCATATGCTGTATGTTTCCATGATTTGCCAGTGGAAAAGGTTCTGGACTGACACTCCCCAGAATGGATATCGAGCAAGGCTCCTAAGGGCCTGTTTCACTACACAAAGAGGGAAAAACACAGTTTTGCACAGAACTGACAAACTTTCCCTTGCTCCTGACACACAGATTCCTGCACCGGAGGTTGACCCAGCAAAATGGACCTGCACCGTAAGCGTTAGGAGAAAGCAAATCAGTATACAGTATTTTACACAATAATGTATCGGAATACTGTACTGAACTACGGTAGGCTACAGATTGCGACTCAAAGACCAAGAGAAACACGTCAATCAAAAGAGATGGCAGGACCAACAGTAAAACGATGTGAACTGAGAAGTAACACCCAGTGGAGATCCACTGTCAGGATAAAACCTCTCCCAAAATAGCAAGTCTTCTATGGCAGCTCATTGCCTACCAAGCGGCTCCAGCAGTCAATGGCTGGGTGAATAGTAGCAGAATGAAACATCTTTGGTCAGAATAACCAGCACTGTCAACAGAAAAATCTGTGATTACAAAAGAAAAAGAGGGAGGGTTCCTCTTCACTGCTTCTGAGTCCTTACATCGGATGACAGCATCGGAAGTCCGGGACAAGGTTCAAACGGTCCGGGACACGATCTAAAATCTGGGAGGATATTGCTGACTCTACTTCCCTAACGACCTAGGCTTTACATTCACACAACTCCCGAGCTCGCTTCCCGCTTTTCAATGCTTCACAGGTAGTACGGGAGACGAAAGCGCGAGGATGGGCATAGAAAGGTTGGTATAAAAGATGATAAAGGGGCAGCGCAGGATCCCGATATAAATCCTATATACACCTGAGAGGCTGCTGGAGTGACAAAGAAAGTAAATCATTACTTTCCCAGGGGAGTTGGGGAAGCACTGGGCTCCTGCGGGAGGTTGAGATCAGCAAAAGGGAACTATGAAGAGGAAGCGCACAGGTGGAGGACAGTTCACCATGCAAGGGGTCTGAAAAGCTCCAGATTTTCGCATCGATCTATTTGGCAGCACACGCTGACATGAGCTGA